GATCACAAATCTTAAGTAGTACCTTCTTTACTACAAAGACAGGCACAAAGAAATCAGTACCAGGTAGCCCTGAAATTTAACTGTTAATAGCCCACTACCCACAGCCATATTCCATAATAAATAACAAAACAGTAGTTATAGGCAGTGACCGGGAATTGAACTGTAACCTCTTGGATCACAGGTCCATGCTCACAGTGTGGTTGTAGCCCTGCTTCAGGGAGAACAGCCTCTTCCCCAAAGAAAGAGAAGTAAATCAAAGTTCTTATCTCTTACATTAAAATCTAACTGTATCACCACTTTGCTTTAAAAAAGAAAAAGCCGAAACCCGTTTGGCTCAGTGGTAGAGCGTCCTTCTGCGGACTGAAAGGTCCCAGGTTCGATTCTGGTCAATGTACGTTGGTTGCGGGCACATCCCCAGTAGGGGGTGTGCAAGAGGCAGCTGGTCGATGTTTCTCTCTCATTGACGTTTCTAGCTCTCTATCTCTCTCCCTTCCTCTCTGTAAAAAATCAATAAAATATATTAAAAATAAAATAAAAGAAAAGAAAAAGAAAGCCCTAGCCGGTTTGGCTCAGTGGATAGAGCATCTGCCTGTGGACTAAAGGGTACTTACTGGATTTGATTCCGTCAAGGGCACATGCCCAGGTTGCAGGCTCGATCCCCAATGGAGGTATGCTGGAGGCAGACGATCAATGATTCTCTCTTATCACTGATGTTTCTCTCTCCCTTCCTGTCTGAAATCAATAAAATATTTTTTTGAAAATAAAAAAAAAATAAAAAAGCCTTCAAAGTTCCCCCTCTGCTTTCAGGAAAAGCCCAAGCTCCACAGAACCAAGTACAAGGAGGGCCTTCCCAATCCGGCCCTGCATACCTCTCTGGCCTCATCTCTTTCCACTCAGCCCTGCCAACACCCTGCCCTCCAGCCAGAAGGAAATACTGTGGCTCTCCCAATGCTGCATTCTTTTCTCTCACTGCCTCCTAGCTTATGTAGGCATTGGCCCTACGCTCTACCTGCTCCTCCCAAACTTAATACTGCTTAATTCAACTGGCCCTTTCAATCTTAGTTTAGACAACACCTTCTCTACAAGATCCCCGCCATGGAACCCCATCTATAATATGTGTCTTCCACTAGACTGTGCCCAAGTGCCTGCCTGGTACACAGTAGGTATGCAATGTTTACTGACACCCTCTACAGCTTACACCGATACCACGATGGGGTAAAGTTCAGCTGACTGGCTACTGAAGGCAGAAAGTAAATTTGAATTCTTAGTTCAAAAGACTGGTCATCCTTTAACTTACTTTAGATCTTCTAATTGCTACATAACTTACCTTTGTGAAAAAGAATAAAATGCAACTATTGAGATGCAAGGAAATGCTTTACAATAACTACTAATCCAATTTCATTTAAGTATCACCTGCCTTCCTCTAGGACTGGGTTATCTCATTACCAACAAGATGGACTAGGAAACAAGATATTTATTATAAAGCTTCAAGCCAACAGAAACAGAGCAAACTGTTGATACAATTTTGGGGGTAAGCACAAAGATACCTCACAATTAAAAAATGCTCTATTTGTCTCTTGAGATGTGCTTAAGACAAAGGACACAATTTAGAGTTAGAATCAGTATTAACTCAATTTTATATTTGCACTTTTCCCAAAGGCAGTATATTTTTTAAAGAAGCATTTTTTAGTTATATTTCCTTTTTCCCCTCCTTTAAAAAATTATTTCATTGATTTCAGAGAAGAAAGGAGGGGAAGAGAGAAACACCAATGATATGAGAGAATCATTGATCATCTGCCTCCTGCATGGCCCCTACTAGGGATCAAGCCCACAATCTGAGCATGTGCCCTTGACCGAAATCAAACCTTGGACCCTTTGGTCCACAGACTGACGCTCTATCCACTGAGCAACACTGGCCAGAGCCTAAGTTATATTTCTTGAATTGTCCTTTGATTGGGTTGTAACTCCTTGGAAGGAAACAGGTAAAGGCACAATTTTATACTAGATAAGCATTCACCATACTAACTAAAAGCAAAAGGCTGCCTATTTACATAATAGTTTAGGTGTTTCTCAAATTTAGTCTTCCTGGAATAACACAATAGTACTAAACTGAGCATTCTGAAGATATGCAGGAAACAATGACCTCACATGTCCTAACAAAAGAGAAATTCTAACATAATGTCAACATTTTTGTGTGAAGGACAAGGATCACCAAAAGCCTCTATTTTCAAGGGTTAGAACTGTCTCCAGAATTTCATAAAGTTTGGATGTTCACTTGAAGAATTAGTGAGCAGCCCTGGCTAGGTGGGCTTAGTTGGTTGGAACATCATACTGTACACCAAAAAGTTGCTAGTTCGATTTCCAGTCAGGGCATATAGATAGGTAGGTTGTGGGTTCGATCCCCATCAACCCATAAACCAAGAGTTCTGGTCAGGGCACATGCACCACTTATGGGCTCAATCCCCAGTATGGGGCTTGCAGGAGGCAGCTAATCAATGCTGTTTCTCTCTCACCCTTGATGTTTCTCTCTCTCTCCCCTCTCCCTCTAAAAATCAATAAAAACATATTTAAAAAAAAAAACACACCATATTCTCATGTGAGAATAAAATAAAATAAAAAAGAATTAGTTAACAGCTCTCATTTGCTAGTCCTCTTGCCACTCAGGTTTGGTTTTTAAAAAATATTTTTATTGATTTTTAGAGAGAGGGGAAGGGAGGAGGGATGAAACATCGATTGGTTGCCTCTGTACAGCCCCTACTGGGGATAGAGCCCGCAATCTGAGCATGTGCCCTGTTTGGGAATTGAACCAGCAACCTTTCAGTGCATATACCTGCAGGGATGAGGTTTTTGTTATTGTTGTGTTGTTGTTGTTTTGTATTTGCAAACTTAATGTTCATTACCATATATCAACTGAGAGGTAAGGTAACCTGAAGCTAAGATTAAACATGCAACTGAAAGACATGTAATAAGCAGTTGGTTTTCCAGTGATGGAAACACAGTGCTCCCCCACAACCCCCATCCCGTCTCCCAGGCTCCTCTCCTTTTAAAGTGCACATTTATAAGACTCTTTGTGAATTTTGAAAAGGGAATTAAATTCAAGAGAGCCCTCAGCCCTGGCCAGTGTTGCTCAGTTAGTTGAGCACTATCCAATGCACCAAAAGGTCGCCAGTTTGATTCTTAGTCAGGGCAAGCAGAAAATTTTAAGTTAAACCTTACATCTCTGGGGCTTGTTTAGCTGTAAAATGCAGTACTGGGCTAGCTGACTTACCCATTCTGAAAACTAAAGTAATCCCCACTCTCTGAACTCTTTATTCACTTTTGTTTTCCGTTTTCTTACACCTTTAATATGAGAAATGCATGTCCCTTCAAAATAGATGAAGAAAAACAAAGAAAGGCTAAGATGCTCAAGAAATTTATCATTTGAGTCACTCTCAAAATGTAGGCCAACCTTTTCTGCAGAGGGCTGGCCCGAGGGGTGCCTGAATGATTCACTCGTATTAGTGGTAGGCAATAGATGCCTCTACCGGAAATTTTGCATTCTCTGGCACACCGTCACTGCTCAGCACACACGCTGCCTAGCACACGGCAGGCACTCAAAAATGTTTGCTCACTGAATAAACCCCCAGATGTCACCTGCTGCTCCCTAAAGAATCTTTCAACTGCTCTCCTCACTCAGGACAAAATCCAAGAAAGATAGTCGGTCCGTAAGAACTGTACCAAATACTTTGGGAACGAATTAATTCTTCAAATTCTCAATCATGCTAAGTGGACAAACACACACGCTGAGAGAAATGCTGAACCGCCAGAAAACAAAACAAAACAAAAAAACACAAAAAAAAACTTCAAAGCCAAGTTTCAACATTCCCGGATACACCCACTGCTGCGAGGTCATTCTCTTGGCCTCTTCCCGAGCTGACAAGAGCCCTGAAAGGCACTTGCGAGAGGAAAACCCTGCTCCTGTTCTGCCCTCGCACGCTCACTCGGCTCTCCACGCCCTTCTCCCAACTAGGAAACCTATAAGGTATGTGTCACTCGAGCCAGCACTGAACAGACACAAACACGAGGAGGCCAAAAAAAGACATCTCTCCATATTCCCAAGGGTCACCACGAAACCACAAACTCTGAAAAAGACCAGATTAATCAGGAACCTAATAGAATTAGGCGGTTCCGGCTTGGGATAAGAAGCTACTTTCCTACAGCTTCTGGGAGTAAATCAAAACTCCCCAAAGCAAGACGAACACTATTTTCCCCTTCTTTCCACTGGAATGTGGCTACTTTACATTGTACATCGCACACATACCCTCCCACCGCCCCCCTCCTTCGACCCCGGCGAGCACACACACTCCCTCCGGGCTCAGATCGTTGGCTGGGTCCCCGGGGAGACGGGCTGGGCTCAGGGTTTTCGGGCGGAGTCCCCTGGGGAGACCCGCCAGCAACCGGATCTCAGAGTAAAACTAAAAGGAAAAAACCCCACACTCGCCCACCGAGGCGGAGAGCGCAGAGCAGTGGGGGATTTTAGTAGAGAGTTGAGGGGCCCATAGACTGTTTCCCTTCCTGCCCCGCATGCCGCCCCGGTCCGCACACCGCCACCCCCTCTGCCCCACCACGACACACAGTGTCGCTCCTCATCCAAACACGTGAACTTTAAAATGGTGCCCCAGGCGAGAGTCCGACAGGAAGGGAAGGGTCAGAAGGACTCAGGCGAGCCAGAGGGTGTGGGGGCCCAGAAAAAAGGTCTTGGGTGGCGTGCGGGGCGCCCCAAGTGACGCGCACGCCTGGGGACGGAAGAAGGCGCACCGGGCAAAGGTGGAGGGAGAAATGGAACGCGGCCCCTTTAAGAGGCCTTCGCAGAGCTCAAGAGACCGGGGGCCTCTCCACCACCCCGGGCCCGGCGTGTGGGGCCCTTCCCCGGGGATAACCAGCCTCAGACCCAGTCCCTGGAGGCTTCCTTCACGCCGGGTCCCTCCCGGCTCAGCCCCAGGGCGGCGGCTCCTCCTTACCCCGCTGTCTGCCGCCTCCTCCCAGCTCTCAGCGACCTCCTCATCTTCCATCTTACTCGCCGCTTCCCCTCCTCCCAACCCCCTCCCCGCGCCTGCGCCCTGATACGCGCATCCGTCGCGGGCGCCAGCACGCAAGTTACTCAATGGACCCCGCCCCCTGCCAAGCCCCGGAAGAGGCGCCAGGCTAGGGTCCAGGAGTGTCATGGAAGCCATCTTGGAAGAGGGCGAGGAAATCATGGTGCCGCCATTTTTTTTAAGGGCAAAGTATTACACTGAATGGACTCCACGTGAGTCTTGAGTACAGGAAGTGTGATCTTTGGAAACATCTTTTCTAAGGGCAGTCAATTACTGGAAAACATTTTTTTGAGTTTTTAAGTAGTTTTTATATAAAGTGCATGTTGTTTTTTTTCCAAAAGTCTGAAAATATTTTTATACCTCAACAAAAAATTTAAAATATTTGCTGATGCATAAAACATGTTATTATTTCTATCTGATAGGGTGATCATGATTATAGTATTTTTTTCTCAAGAAGCAGTATTCCAAGCTTCTGTTAACAATGATATTGTCTACTGTGAGGTAAAAACATTACTGTTAGTTGGTAATATTGCACCTGAGCTAGGCAACCAGAACTACTAAAGACTTTCGGAATCCTTAATGACAGATACATAAATTAACATTACCTCAAAAATGTATTTATGCATCTGCCTAAACAATGTTTTGTTTTACTTTTCTTCAACATAGAAGTGGGGACCTTGGACTTTTAAAGTTCAACTTCAAAATCTTCCAACTTGAACTGCTGTGTTTAAGTTACTTAAAGTTTCTCTGCCTTAGTTTCCCCAAATGTTAAAAAAGGAGATAATAATAGTCATAGCAGCTTCTTCAAAAGTAGATTGTGATGCCAAGACCGGTTTGGCTCAGTGGTGGAGCGTCGGTCTGCGGACTGAAAGGTCCCGGGTTCGATTCCGGTTAAGGGCATGTACCTTGGTTGCGGCAAGAGGCAGCTGGTCGATGTTTCTCTCTCATTGATGTTTCTAGCTCTCAATCTCTCTCCCTTCCTCTCTGTAAAAAATCAATAAAATATATTAAAAAAAATAAATAAAAATAAAAGTAGATTGTGAGGAGGTACTGTGTAAGCTGAAAAGCTTAGAGCGGTGCTTAACCCATAGTAAGAGTTCTAAAGGATGCCTATGATTATTAGGGGGCTTGCCTGCCAAGATTTATATTTCTCACATTTCTGATGGTGCTCTCTCTCTCAAACCACAAAAGCAGGGTAAAGGCAAGCACCCATGTTTTTAACCTCATTGGCATGTTTCGTGTTAGGCTGCTCAGTGTTAAAAACATGCCATTCAGTAGTGTTGCATTTGATGGCTATAATCAAGTTATTTGAATCGGGATGTATTTATAGCATGTCATTAATCTTTCTAAAGTAACAGCTTCCTGTTTCAAAATTATGCAATTTGTATTCCTAATGGCTATTATTATCATAATAAATTGTAGTCATGTTTTAAATGTTACTAATCTTTATTTAGAAGTTAAAGTGATGTGCTTACTAATTCTCTTACATGATTTCTTGCCTCTGAAATATTATCCATCTTTGGGTCTGTCCTCAGTCTACTGTTCTTACTTAAATGCTCATGGTGTAAGTTACCCGCTGTATGAAGAAAAAAAAAAAAAATCCCAAATTTGATTTCCAGCCCTGAAGGGAGCTAGTATTTCTGATCCAGCTAAATAAGCTTTTTATTGGCATCTCCACATGCATTTTCCACTAGCAATTCTAATTCTCTATGTTGAAAATGTTATTAACAATCTGACTAATTTACCCAAAGATAAAGGGTTTGTCTTTTTCTCTCTCTGGAACTATATTTATTTATTTATTTATTTATTTATTTATTTATTTATTTAATATATATTTTATTGATTATGTACAGAAAGGAAGGGAGAGAGATAGAGAGTTAGAAACATCGGTGAGAGTCATCGATCAGCTGCCTCTTGCACACCCCCTACTGGGGATATGTCCGCAACTAAGGTACATGCCCTTGACTGGAATCAAACCTGGGACCTTTCAGTCCTCAAGCCGACGCTCTATCCATTGAGCCAAACTGGTTTCGGCAAGGAACTATATTTATCTTGAATACATTCTCCTGCGAACCATTCTTTTAAGTGCATTATCCTGAATTGAGCCTTGGCGAAGGCCAGACTGTCTATCAGACATCACGTAAGTCTCACTCTTGAGGTGTGATTAGGTTTTCATAAATGCGACTGACTCTCAGTAGTTTTAGGTTTTGTCATAATAGCGTGTTACCAGCAGAGGGAGATAGTTTCTTACAATTTTGTTATATTTTGCAATGAGCCTTAACAAAGAAATTAGTTGGGCATTCTTGGGACTAAATTTTCTAGGAGGCCAGAAAGATAGAGATCTTGAAGATTATCTGAGAGGATGCTACAAAGGAAACAGCCTTTGGGTCACCAAATAAGCAATCAATCAGGAGGCCAGGCCTAGTAAATCAAATAGGCCCCCTGTAACCTTGGGCAAGTCCCTTCCTCATCTGTAGAATGAAAAGATGGTACTAAATAAGCTTCAAAATTGAGGAAGTGGTGGTTTCTTTCTCAGAGGAAAGCCCCCTGCAGTGACAGAGACCCTAAAACATGAGCTTCTTTTTCTTGTAAAATATGTTTGATACATCATTTATGTTTGGAACTTAAGAGACTTGCATTCAGAACCAATACACCACACACACACACACACACACACACACACACAAACACTCTGATTGATATGTATGGGAATATAATAACAGAGCCCATAGTGAGAAAAATTTCCATCTGATGTATAAGGTTATATGGACAGTTGTGTTAAGAAATAAATGGCACCCTGGCCAGTTGTTCAGTGGTTAGAGTGTTGGCCTTGGACTGAAGGGTCATAAAATCCCCAAGAAAACCCCAATGGACAAAATATCCTCAGGTGAGGATTAAAAATATTAAAAAATTAAAAAATATTTTTAATATTTAAAATGCATGTATGTGCCTTTTGCCCCAGTAATTGTATTTCTGGTAAATTTTTTCTGTAGATACATTTGCTTTAGGTATAACAAAAATATAAGTATGTTCATTGCTACTTTGTTTATAATCACAAAGACATGGAGACAAATGAAATGTTTATTACTAGAAGGTTTGTTTTAAAGATATATGGTATCTCCATACAAAGGAATAGAATGAAATTAGTTAACAAAATTTGGATGGTTCCAAGTATGCTGACACCAAATGACCTGAAGGACTATACTTCAAAAAGAAAAAAAAAGCAAGGTACAGAGTATTGTGTATAGTTTGCTGCTACTTTACGTGTATTTATTTATATGTGTTTGTGTATGCATGTTTGGAAAGATATCAGGAATTTGTAACAGTAGTCATCTCAGTGGAGGAAAGATATCAGGAATTTGTAACAGTAGTCATCTCAGTGGAGGAAAGAAGTTTACTATGTAGCTAGGGAATTGGGACATAATTTTTTAAAAGTATTATTATTTTTATTTTTTATCTTTTTAAATATATTTTATTGATTTTTTTACAGAGAGGAAGGGAGAGAGATAGAGAGCTAGAAACATCAATGAGAAAGAAACATCGACCAGCTGCCTCCTGCACACCCCCCACTGGGGACGCGCCCACAACCAAGGTACACGCCCCTGACCCGGAACCCAACCGGGATCTTTCAGTCTGCAGGTTGACACTCTGTCCACTGAGCCAAACCGGTTTCGGCTTTATTTTTATTTTTATTTTTATTTCGTCCTGGCTGGTGTGGCTCAGTTGGTTGGATGTCATCCTGTAAACTAAAATTTACTGGTTCCATTCTCAGTCAGGGCACATGCCTGGATTGTGGGCTCAATTCCCTGGAGGGGCTGTGAAGGAGGCAGCTGATCGATGATTCTCTCTCATCATTGATGTTTGTGTCTCTCTCTTTCTCTCAGAAATCAATAAAAATGTACTTTAGAAAAAGGAGGTATTTCTTTGCTCCTGATTATAGCACTGTTAGCACTGTGGAATGTCTGTAAATATGTTTTTATAATTCTGTGTAAAGTTTGTGTAAAGACAAATGAAACCAGTCCAGGGCTCATGATAGAGTTCAGAAGAAATTAGAGGGGGAGGTGGAATGAGTGTCTGTTCTCAGCAGGCCAGTCTGGTGCTCAGACTTTTATTTTTTTATTTTTTAAATATATTTTATTGATTTCTCACAGAGAGGAAGGGAAAGGGACAGAGAGCTAGAAACATCGATGAGAGAGACACACCGACCACCTGCCTCCTGCACACCCCCCACCGGGGACGCGCCCGCAACCAAGGCACATGCCCCTGACTGGAATCGAACCCGGGACTCTTGAGTCCACAGATCGACGCTCTATCCACTGAGCCAAACCGGCTTCGGCATGTGCTCAGACTTTTAGACTCATTGAAAGTTGCCACTGCCAACACAAGAACAAAGCATGTGACTTATCAATGGGTAGCATGACATCATTCAAGACTCATGCTAGCCTCGGAGCCTAGACCCAGAAGTTCAGAAAGCCTCACCTCCCTCAGGGCCTAGCCTGGCCAGCGAGGGCAACCTGGACTAGAGCCTAGCCTAGCTGATGGAGGACAACCTGTCCTCAGAGTTTAGTCTAGCCTGGAAGCCACAGAGCTAGTCTCAGGGGCCTAAGAGAGCTGAGCCTAGATAATCCTTGGGGCCTTGGAGATCTGAGCCTAACCTTGGAACTTAGCCTAACCAAGCAAGGACATCCTGGCCTCAAGCTTCGCCTAACCTCTGAACCTAGACTAGCCTCTGAGCCCAGTTTTGCTTCTCAGTAGACTGTAGGGGCCCTTCATGAGGGTAGGGATTTTTAAAGTTTCATTTATACATATCACATGTGATACTATATGTATCACACGGTTTGGCACATTGTAGGTACTCACTGAATATTTGCCTGCCCTCTTAGTTGTTAAATTCCCAGTTTATGCATTAATTCATTAAATATTTTGTGATTCTCTACTGTGTGCCAGTCTCTATAGTAGGTGATAAAATAGTGAAG